CCCCGACGGGGACCCCGTTCCCCGACGAACACTACTCTCTACTGAGAACCGCAGGACATCACTGTCAGTGGAGATATCTATGAACGAGCGATTTCAAGCGAACGATACTCGCTAGTGATAATACAAAAAGTATCGCTCGCTGATACAAATCGCTCACTAACGATGATTATTTGAGTTTTGATTTGCTGATAGAATGCGATAAAGTTATGATAATGAACATACTGATAAGCTGATAAAGTGATGAAATTTGAAGACCTGGAAAGATCGTCGCATGAAATGGGATTCGAATGATTGGAAAACGGACACTCTCAATGTTAAATCGTATGGACGACTTTGGGTTCCAGATATCAACTCGGACAAGTAATTTGATTTATTTTTTTGTGAAGTCTTTATATGGTATGTTCAGTCGATTGTGCATACCATTGTTATCGCATAATGTCATTTCTATCATCTAACTTTCCTTGAACGAGGCCAATTGTATCCGTGTCAAGTGAGAGAATTAATAGTAAATCCGAGGTTCTCCAGATTAATTCGGTGATTGCTTGACAACCATATTCAGTTTTTGTGGTTCTACAGTAATGTGCCTTGGAAGAAACGAATATTCAGCATATTTATAATCATTGTCTAGGAAAGATATGAATGACAGTTACATCAGATAGATATCTTGAAATTATATGGATGTCATTTAGACTTTAGTTCCTGTCACGAGGCGAATGTGCGTTTATCAGAATCGATCATTTGTGTTGATCTGCATATTGATCATGAATGACATTTCTGAGAAATTATCGTTTCCCATTGATCAAGAAAGTCACCTTAGTTGAGGCAAACTTCACTAATTTTTCAAGTGGTATTATCGTTGACCACTGCAGGCATCAAACATCAGCGCAATCCGGCGAATACGTTCAGTATCAGAATATTTTAGCGAAGAATAACGGCAATTTAACGGCTCGTCTCGAATACAAGATTCAAGCGCATTGTCAAATCGATTATACCAATTTTCCGGATGTGAGTTGACCTTCGTTCTTGGATTACTCGTTTCGTTTAAGTCAGTGGTCCTCACGTTCGGGTGCTCCAATACCCCTTTCGATGGTCTGACAGGCCGTCATTACCCCCCCCCCTTCCTGCTAAAATAATTTACCGTTTCCACGCATAACCTCAGAACTAATTTCCCGATTCCCTTCATTACCCTCTGACACCTTCAAATTATCCAGGAATAGATAATTTCCCCCTATGGAGACCCCCGGTCTAAATGTTGTTTGCATTCACCTGAATTAATAATGTTTTCTTTCTAATCTTTGATATCAGCAATACATCATGTTTCCCTTTGAACTTGTCGTTTCATTTCAGGATCGAAAATATTGTTGCTTCACGCTGAAGTCGCTAATCTATCCGCACTACATTAAATACTTCCTGTCGCGAGGCGAACGTGCGTTTATCCGAATCAATCATTTGTGTTGATCTACGCATTGATCATGAATGATATTTTTGAAAAATTATCGTTTCTCATTCATTTGTAGGAGCAATATTTTATAGCAGTACATTGATATAAGGGAATGATACCAGGAATTTTGAAGCAGTGTTATTTTTATATCAGTCAGGGAACTATTTGAATTTTCAGATGGCATTGACCTAACAAAAGTGCGGACTAACTGGCATATTGAATCTGCATCGATACATGTGGAACAAGACGAGGATGATAGGAAGTCAGTTGAATAGATCTCGAATTTTGAGTATTTTTGCAGTTTTTTGACTTCATTCATCGGGTCGAGCTGTGCACTGATATATGTAGAGTGTGAAATTAATTAATTGAGTTGAACAAATTAGTTGACAAATATATCGATGAAAATAATTAATTTGATTGACAAATTAATTAACAATTAACAATAATTAATAAATCAATTGTCACATTTAGATCATTTTGAATTGAACTGTGCAAATTATTCGCTTTTTTCTTCTTAATTGATGACAGTTGCGAATGTTCAGAGCACAAGTGCTGGAAATATGTTTGGCTGTTCAACGAAAGTCGATGACCCTCCGAATCGAATTGACAATCCCAATGGTCGTATCTTCGCTGTTGGTTGTCATAGCACCGTTCTTCGGCACTTTGAAAGATCAGGTGGATTGATTTCTTGAATATTATTCCGTTTCTTGTTCTCGTCGAAATATTGAACCGATCACTTGGAGGCTAAAAGACTTGGGAACATTGAACAATTATAGGGTGGCACTGATAAAATTCATGTCTAAAGATCATAACAATGAGCCAAGTAAAGCCCAGATTGTTATAAAACAATAATAATAACGATAATTGTTTAGATCAACGTCAAGTTATTTGCCATACTCATTCAGCTGCTTAGCTTCACAAATTTGGCTTCAAAAACTCCACAAGTTGGCTTCGGAAGTACAATTCCGAATATATGTAAGACGTTTCGGCTCTATTTTGTGTCATACTGAACACTCGTCTATTCATTTGTTCTAATGATATAATCTCAATTGGAACACTCATTTGTTCCATATAGTGACATATTTTCACTGCATTTTTCTTATCCGTATTTACAGATCTGTTCTACGTGTTCACACTTGCAACCACAGTGATTAGTCTGTTGATAACGTTGATTATCAGTGCGATGTCGCGTATCCATCGCAAACTGCCTCCAGGTCATTTATTCAGACAGTTTTAAAAGAATAATTTCCACGTTTGCGTCAGTTACATGTTAGCAATGCTGAGTAAAGAACTGAATAGTATTGTGAGAAATTTCTCATCCTAAAATTCCGTAGAAGTAAAGTGATCTATAGGAGTATCAACTTTATGTTTCAGATTAAAATTAGAACCAAAATTGTACGTTATCAGAAAAACAAGGGTTTGCCTGTAGAATTGGCAAATCAAAATTGAATATGGGATTATGATTTGCTTATTGCTAGCTCTTGAAGATATAGGAAATTTGATTTGATATCAACTCTGATCATTCGACTTACTATGATATCAGGAGTAGTTGGGGAAATATAAACTTCAAGCTTTCGTCGTTAGAGTAAAACTAACAGTATCTTCATTCATAACAATGATAACAGTGATAATGATATCAGAACTATCAATATCATAACAAGGAAAATGTTCATAAGTTGTTTTGGACTTGTATGTTTGATGGTTTCAGCGCATCGCTATACTCTTCTCGCATCAGTGCTCAACACGAATCTATGCTGTGGAAATGAAGTTGGTACCGTGATCGCAACTGATGGAACGTCAACGAAGGACAATCAAAATGATTGGTTGCAGATTCATATTGCGATTAATAATCTGATATCGTTCATCATTATGGTTGCGTATTGTTTTGGCATTGTTATCATTTTATGTCAATAGAATTGATGGCTGAGAGGCGAGATTGTCTTGAGTTGGCTTGCTTAATTTATATTTAACATTAGCTGTGATTTTATTGTCTATGATAAGGTTCACTTGATTGGGATGTCAATGCAATCCTACCTCTGATATGACTACTTAGATTGTGTTGTGAACATAATCATTAATTTCATAATGGATACGCTCATTATGCTGATATTGTTTTCGTAACATACCTATAATCATACCACCCTCACCACCTTGAAGGATTAAGACAACAATTATATCACTTTATGTCGAGAGTCGCGACTAGCGCGAAAAGCCAGCATACAAAGATTATAGTACTTAAATCAAATAAGAAAGATCGAGCAATGGGCCGATAGTGCATTGGTGTAACGCTGGTCTTTGAGGATCCGATCTGTTCAGAAGGCGTGAGTTCGATTCAGAACGCGTCGGTACAAAATCTTTGACAAAATTTGATCTCATTCAAGAGATAATCAAGAGGACGTAGTTTCGACACTTTATGATTTTACGGAAGATTCTTCTTAATATTGTGCAGTGATCAAATTTATGTTCCAAGTACACTGACAATGAGATTAATCATACATGTAAAATTCAGTTCATTTGGGCAGTTGAATGAAATTACAGTAAACTCGTGAATTCATTCAAATAATAACGTTGAAATGATCCTTGGCATCAAATTACTGATTGTGAGTTTCTTAATTTTTTAATCGTTCACTAGTTTCGAAGCTGATGAGTTTCTCTGGAGTTTTGAAATCTGATTGGTAACGAGTCATGAATTACTTCAAGACAATACGCCTCAGCATTACCAAACGTATAATTTTTAACTCTTTAATATTGCTTTAATAACTTTTGTAAGTTCACTTTGAAATGTAATCATCACCGAGAAGCATTTATCTATGTCCACGCATTATTCTAATCAAATCTAACGTTGTCAATGTATATTCTAATGTGAATTGTTATCGTCGTTATACTTAAATATCGCTTTTATGTATCAATCAAAAGTGATTATTCATAAAGAGATTGAAATGATATCCTCAAAAATTTTAACATCCAGCTGATATCACTTCAATGTTGCTGCAATAGAACAGTGTAAAATATTATACATAACAAATTCTTTCTCACAATTAATAATAAAATATCGTTTGTCATTTCATATTAATAGTGACATTTGATTATAATAAACGAGGTGATCAGTAGAACAGTTTGTTTTCTTATTCCTTTTTAAACACTTCTTACAATTAGATAGTAGACTATGCAACAATTTGATGTTTCTATCTCTTACAATTAGATAGTTTCTATCTCTTCTTGAGCAGGAATCATTTTTCGTCGTAAAGAGTGAAGAAGTTTCGAATTCAACAGAAGTTATTTTTTTAGGAAAAGGAAAAAATTCATTATTTTCCAGTTCGATTCTGCTCATTTTGGAATTTTCATCACTGATTTGCAGTAATATCCTCAAACGGTAATATCCTCAGAAAAGTTTAAATTTGCTATGCAAAGAGACTGTGCAATAATTACTTCAAATAGCCTTGATAAAAATATTACAAACTCATTCAAACGGGTTCTATCATAAGTGTTCTTTTTAAACACGAACGTTTTTTGGTCAAAAAAAAGTAGAGGAACTTGACATTTGATAGAAATGAAATTCTAGAACAAGGCAAAGAATTCATTATTTTCCTGTGTAGTTTGCTCTTACTTCTAAAATTTTGATCACTGATGTACAGTTGAGCGATAATTACATTCTCGTAGAGTGTTCCAGTTTGTTGCATCAGATGATGTAACACTGTCGTTAGAAATTGCATAAGGATGATGATAATGAATGTAATCATGTGATCATTCGATGTCGCTAATTTTAAGTAAATATTATGAAAAATTAAAAAATGAGTAAATAACATCATTAACGATTAGTTGAATATGGATTGACGGTTTCAACTTTGGCAAAAGTTTTCACATTTCATTAGATTTGTTTTCCGAAAAAGTATTCATGCACTTTATTAGATTACCTCTTTATTATGAGTAGTGTTCACCATTTAAGAAAATATTATATTTGTTAGATTGGAGTGGAGAACTTGAACGTTGAATGTGATCAAATGGCAGAAGCTATTCTTTTTGGAGCACAAAACAGTGGGGATACAATGGGTGATGTCGATAGACCCGTGATGACCTGATATAGTGTGGTACTTAATGAGGAAATAAAAGCTATATATCTGACAATAATGGACACTCCGTGATGCAGTTAATAACAAAGAATGAAGGTACGGAATATTGTAAAAGTTGTTCATTATTTCATGGAGTAAAAGTCAGAAAATTTAATTCGAGAGTAAATCTTGGAGTTTTCTTGGGATACTTCTCGAGTTGAAATTCATCCCCGGGAATGAGAAGGTATTTGGGATATGTAGTTGACTGAAATGACAGGGAAATATGACGTGTGTTCTGCATGCGATATTTCAAGTTGAAAAGATAGTAATGAGAAGGAATTTGGTGATAGTGATACGACGTTAATGAATTCGTTTAATAGAAATTCATCGAGCAGGTTTTAGTAAATACGGACTTGATTATATATCCTACCGTTGAGATTCATTTGATACAACATTGTCTGCTCAGTTCATTTGCTGAGTTGTCCGATTTAGTAGTGATTATCATTGTTGCAACTTTATAATTAGATAATATAATAGGAATTCTTATTTACTAGGATTTTCCTGACGTAATTTGTTTAGGTTCCTCGATTTTTATCACGGACTTGGTTAGTTCCTGTAAAGTTGACCTGCCTGAGTTCAGCGTCTCTCCTCCATTTATGGTTTATGGGAAGGAAGGAACACGAAATCACCTGTTAATTCTTTGAAGATTATCAGCTGTTTAAGGGTTAGTAGCTATTCAGAGGTGTTAATGCTGTGAGTATTTTAGTGGTGATTGTTATCAGTTATTAACAACACGACACATCATCCATCAGCTATCAAAAAGCGTGATATGGAAGTATAAGGATCAACTTACAGCAGATGTAAACGACCTGCAATCAGGACCCAATTATACGTCGAATCGATACTGATTGATTATCGATACTGAGCTTTTGCCGCTTATACAGCTTTTGGGTATCATTGATCTACAACGGTACGAAGAAAATGTCGGATAAACGTGTTGGTTTTAATCTTATGAAGTTTTCATTTGTCTTATTATTCTTTTAGTAGTTTGCTCTATTCATGACTTCAAACCCATTGAAATATCGTATGAAGTGTGAAACTTATGAGGAGTTTTTGAAGACAAGGTTTTAATTGTCAAGGTTGAAAAACCAATAAAGATTTGCAACGCTTGTGAGGTTTTGGGTGTGTTTTATCGCATTGTTACGTTGAGAAACACGTGACATTCATTCCTCTTTTTTCATTTTTCCATTCCAACGATTCATGACAGATGTCAGTCATTTTGTAGAGGCGGTGTGACAACGTACTGTCAATGCAATCATAATAATGATAATGATAACGATATTGTCAAGATTGCCTTAGCACGTGAGAAGAGGCGAAAACAGGTTACGCAGGCAGGTTTTGAATAGGGAACAGCACTGCTTAAAAAAGAGTGGCGCTCATGAATTTCGATCACTTAGTATCGTAAATTGATCAGTGAAATTTCTGAAATCCCATTGAAGTTCTTCTGTTCATCTAAAGTTCATATACCAGTGATCATCTGCTCTGTTCGAGTATTTTGTTCCAATAGGATCTGATCTGACATCATTCGACTCTGATTTGAGTCGATTATCAGTCTGATTTTTCATCCTATTCATCCTATTGGTTCCAAGAAGTTTTTGCAAATTTTTTGTTAATCGCTGACGGAGGATTGTGATCTTGTTCCTTCATCAAATTCTATTAGTAAACATCCAACTCAAGAGATCGAACTGAAAAATGCCTCCAGTAGTGAGCAGTAGAGATCAGTCATCGCTAACCGACGAATTATTGTTCGATTATTGGCCAAGATATTTCAAGGTATTAGAGAAATTAATCGATTGATTAACTGATTGAAAGGAAGCAGAATTTGATCGAGTTCAAGCATTTTATGTACACGTGAATCGCTCCCATTTGATCAGATTTTTGGAACTTTTTCGAAAAAATCATTTTCTTAACTTTTCAAAAACTCAAACAGTGCCTATAACGTTGCGTTGATTTTAATTTGTTCAGCCATCAATAGGAACACAACTATGGGAATGTATTGGAGCATTTTCATTTCATTCAATTTTCAATTTCCAATCTATCGAAAGAGAATTTGAGACTGAACTGAAGTTTTTTTTTTTTGAAGGGATATTAAATTTTGAGTATATGTTTGATTTTGATGTTGAAAAACTGTTTTTTTCCAGCGTTCATCGGATGACCGTTCTGTGAATGGTGTGGACGAATCGCATTGTGCCGAACAAACAACGGTGATATTCTCACTTCGGGAGAAATCTGGAGCGTTGGCCGAGACGTTGAAACTTTTTCAGGTTGGTTGAATTTTCTTCAGTGATGTTCCAACTCCATTGGAATATCTTATCCGAAACCATAATCAAAACCATAATCATCATCGATCATTTACATTTAACAATAGTAAATTTTTGTTTTAATTCGATTGCATTACCGGAATCCGATATGATCGTGTACAATACAAAATCTAGTGAAGAATATCGCTAACTGTGAAACTTATACGTTACGGCGTGCATACAGTCGAAGTTCCGACAAGAAACGCTGCTTATGATGCTTGTTATTCAGGAGAACGACGTCAGTTTAACACATATCGAATCGAGACCGTCGAGAACGCGTAAAGGATGTTATGAGTTTCTGGTGGAATGTGATGAGAATGCACGAAAAGAATCAATTGAAGAGGTGATCAACCGACTGAAGAAACAAACGACGAATCTGGTGGTACACGACCACAATTCGGCACTAAAACAAAACAAGGGTTTGCGAGAAATTTTGATTTTTGATTATGCCATATGAAATTTCAAGTAAACACACAGCAAAAATGTAACTTTTGAATGCGTTTTC